CAAAGCTTGGAGTGGACATTCCAATTAACCATTGAAAAGTTGTCTTTGTATCCGGCTTCCAAAAGCAAAAATGGGAATCAAAGTTGCAATTTCCTAAAAGACGACGAAGAGAAAGATAAGAATTGCTGCTGATTCAATTGTGGTAGAGTTTTGTACTAGGGAGTCTTCATTACTTATGGCGGGGGGAGGGCCGGCAACAATAATGGGGGGTCATTAGAAAAATTTGGGAATAATGTAGGGGGGGTCAAAAGCTTTTTGTTGTTACATATCATCTACAAATGTGGGTTTAAGTTTGTAGAACGTTTCTACTACCCGACATACAAGATACTTTTTCACTTCCTAACCCAACTGCTTTTGATAGTCCAAGGGGGGAGGAGGGCTAGCTATTTTTGCAATTACAACCAGAAGGGTGATGAAATTTTTTATTCTTATAGAGCAGTGTCAGGATATTTTGTTTAGTCTCACAGAATATCTTGCCAGCCCACCCCCTCCCATAAATAATGAATGCTCCCTTAGACATTTTCCAAACGTAAACACTAAAAAATGGAAAAGAGAGTAAAAAACAAAAAAAAAAACAAACAAAATAAAAAAGAAAAGAAATTGAACAGCGAGACTCAATAAAAAAATCCAGATGAGTCATAACTCATCTTATTATATCGCTTGCAGCGCCCGTGGGCAAGATGAAGCGAATCCTGTGTTCTGATTGGCCACCCGAGCGGGCAAGATGGGCCCATCTCGCCCGCTCGGGATTGCCTGCATTGATCTCGCGCATGAAAAATAATAGAATTGGAACTACGTTCGTAATTCTTGGACAATTTCGGCGATGGAAACGTAAAAAGTGGCAGAAGATAGTCAAAACGGAGAAAACATAAACGACTCTCGTGAGTTTGTTGCACTACAAACACAGTTGGCTTTCTTTCCAGGCTCTCGAAATAAACGAGTCATTCCTAATTCTTATTAAAGCGAAATGTTTTAGCGATATAATAAATCCTTTATTAACCAAGCTTGTTCTCGGTCAAGATGGCTGGAAATTAGCCTCGTTCTTTTTTCGCATTTTTATGGACGTCGACTTCGTTTCGGTCCAATAATAAAAATGGAAAAAATATCCAGCCATCTTGACCTCATGCTTGGTTAATAACGCATATATCTTGAGGTGAGTTCGACCTCGAATCATAATCAAAGATTTTAAAGGGGGTGAAATGGAGAACAATGTCTTAATCGGAGAATTATGGAAAAACGAATGTGAATGTTGAAAGATACCAAAGAAATCCACAAGGAAATCAACTAAGCAGTGCTGAAAGTTATTGTAAAACAAATTATTCAGCAGATATGTACCTAACTGATCGCTTGAGGTTTCGGTTTGATTTAGACACATTCCATCCGCCAATATCACATCATCGACTGCAATGTCCCCTTGGTAACTCTGGCCAACGACTCCTCGTAGTACTACCTGCAAAAATGTTGCCAGATATTTCTCATTTATTCTTAACATTTTTGGTCTCTTAAACTATTGCGATTTATGCGTATTGACATTACATTTGATCCCGTGTTATTATCATTTCAAATTGTCTGGACACTTGTTTTTGCAAGAACGCCCGCAAACAACGAATAAGGAAAATTTCTGCGCCTCTATAGCCCATAACATTTTCGTAAAAATTGAAAGAAACATGAAAACGTTGGCACGATATATCTATTTTTTATTCCGAGCAGATTTCTTCAGTTTGCCCATCTATTTCCCTTTGGACTGTTCTTAATTTTCTTCTAATTCGTTTTTAGTTCGAAGCTGTAGCTCTGACATCTAACTTAATTTCCTGACTAGACTATCACGAGTAAACCCGGCCCAAATTATGGGAACAGTTGGTTGACCTCAGCCGAATTCTGGTATATGCTTTTTCTTCTTAGTTTCTGTGGATGGATGTCATAAACTTACCAGGATCATCGAGTGATGCCAAGGGAAGAGGAGGCTGGGAATGTAAG